CTTTCTCATCCCCCCGCTTTCACTTTTTAGTTTTCTTGCACGGTCTCAAGGTTGTAGTTTTTTCGTTCGCTCAGGCGGTCACTCCGTTTTTTGTTGCGCTTTCGTTGGTCTGACGCTATGGCTCTCTCCCTCTCACTCTCTTATCTAGTGTTACCCCACTGTCTCTCGTTCCGCCGTTCTCCCCCCGCTCACCCCTTCATTCTCACAACTCGGCTGCTCTGACCCTGTCTCTGACATCCCCCCGCGCGCAGTCTGGTCCTCAATCTCTCACCGACCCCTCTGCTCGCTCATGCCCTCGGTCGCTCACCCGCCCTCGCTTCTGCCCCCCCACCCTCCTCCCCCAGAAGTGGAGCACGCACTGGGGCAAAGGCAAGGGGATCTCCCCAAAGCCTCGGCTCCCCCCCCCCACGTGCCCCGTTGGGCAGGGACTTGGCAGGGGTGAGTGGGGCGGTGGAGGGGAGAGGGGGAGCCCTGAGGGGAAGAGGGGGGGAATGAGACACTGGGGGGGGGGGAACTTGTGATGATGCGGGGGAACCAGAGCGTGTACGCCCAGAATGGTGACGGAAAGTGTGGGTACGATACCCAACCGCAGCATTTGTTCATCTGGAGCAGGATTCGCTGTCCTTCGAGGCCCATCGAATAGCACATCGTGTCATGTTGTAAGTAGTCCTTGCCAGTTTGACACCAAGCAGTGATGATGCGGAGGCGTGAGGCCAGGGCCAGACCTTCGACGACACTTGTGCTTTTCTGTTGTTCGGCGAACCCCCGGGCTCCCTGTAGCTCTCGGCCCCTTCCCCCGGGGCCGGTTCCGCGCCCCGAGCCGGCCTTCTGCGGCCCAGAAGCGGGTCCTTCTGGAGGCCGACGAGTGCCGCAAGATCGGGCGTTCTGGTACGGGAGCGCGATAAATGGGGGGGGGCCCCAGGTTGCACGAAGGGGCCCCCCTGAAGGGGCCCCCAAAGGGCCCCCTGGGGCCCCGAAGGAGCATGAACGGTGCACCTCTCTTTATCCATGCCGTTGATTGCCCCTCCATGGCGGTTGGCGTTGGATGAGGCGCCGCCGTCCAGCTTATTACACGCTATCCCACGCCTTGGGGATAGCGTGCATCAAAGAAGCCCTGGCGAGGGGATGGCGCGCGAAGAAGGGGCCCTCGCGTGGGGATCGCCCCACGGGGGTACAGTCGACACTGGTAGTTAGGATGAGCGACTTTTCACGGGTACCTTTGCATCCTTCCCCTTCGGCCAATCCTGGGCCATTTTCGTTGGCCGCGCCCCGCTCGAAGAGTGTCCCCGTGGCATTCCAAGGCCCTTGCATCCTCGGCGCGCGTCCGTACTATCAGTCTCGACTGTAGCGCGTTCTTCGGAGAACGATGCCGCGCGCCATCCCCAGGCATCCGGCGCCTCGCTTCTTTCGAGACGCGGGCCCTGTTTGATGATCCTGAGTCCCCGTGAGGGCCCCGAGGGGCCGAAAGCGATGAGAAACCGGTGCCTCGATTCTCTCGAGGCGCCAGATGTCTGGGCCTTCCCAGCGCCAGCCGCGAGCAACCGGGCCCGCCCCCCTCGCGCCGAGAGGCGCCCCGCCGGCCCGCGCCCGCGCCCGCCCCGGACCTCCTCCTCCTCCTCCTCCTCCTCCTCTTCCTCCTCCTCCTCCTCCTCCTCCTCCTCCTCCGCAGGGGGTGCTCCGAGGGCCGCGCGCCCGGCGGGGGGGCCCGAAAGCTGCCGCGCAGGGCTCGCTGCGACTCCTCGGATCCGGTTCGGTCCGACTTCGGTGGCTCCCGAGTCCGATTCGCTCCGACCTGGGGTTCCGATGTGGGTTCCGATGTCTCGTGGGAGGCCCCCGGAGACCAGGAGACAGATAAACCAGGACACGGAAAACCAAGGAAACGACCTCCTTTCCTGCAAAGTTACGTTTTTCAGCACCCGTGCATGTTTTGTTTGCTGCACTGCAGGATTCGGGATTGTGTCCGGGTTTAGGGGGGTCTTGCAGGCTGTTGAGGCCTGTGTCCGGGTTTATTCTGAAAATGCTGCAGTGCAGTATTTTGTTCGTGCCGCCGTTTGGAAAAGTTGGTTTCGAGGGATGTTGGGTATCCGGGTCTAGCGTGTCCGGTTCTACGGGGCCCTGATCGTGGGAGGCATGCGGGCCTGCCGATTTCCGTCGATTCGACTTTTCCCGACTCGGCTGCCGACTTCCGCCGATCCGATTCGTCTCGCTCGCCGATTCGACTTGTCGATTCGATTCTGGGGTCTCCTGCGTGCGCAAGGGGCGCGCCGTTCTTCCTTCGAGGGGCCCGACGAACCCAGCCCCCCCTCCTCGAGTCGGCGGCGAGCGAGGGGGGAGGTGAGCAGGAGGAGGCCTTCCAGAAGGTGGCGAGCCTTCTCTCAGATGCCCTTGCGCCCTCTGAGAGGTTTTGGTGTCTTCGGGGAAGGCTCAGGAGACTTTTCAAAAGGCTGGGGGACTGCCGAGCCTTCTGAGAAGACCTTCTCTCTTTCTCGCTTTCCCCCTCGCTCGCCGCCGAAAAAAGCTCGGGACGGGATGGTTTTCATTTTTCTCGAGTAGGGGATCGACTGCAGAATGGATTTGCCCCGGAAGTGGCTGCTCCATTGGATCTACGGAACATGCGTAAACTGTCCCGTTGATCGATTGAACATTCTGCGTATTTGTATCGTGGGTTTGACGGACAAATCAATTTTGGGGTACATCAATTCTGTAGTCGATCCCCCACCCGAATTTTCAGCCTCCGGTGACTCTCGCTGGGCCTCGGGACCGTGAACAAACGACGCAGGATGAGAGTCTCTCCCGTGGCATGGGTCGAGACCGCTGGGAGTGGACGTTCTGACGCAAATCGTGACGTCGGGGGTCTGAAGAGGGCACGAGGGTTGCACGATCCTGAGATCTGACGGCGCGAAAACACTGAAACGTCGCAGGAGATCAAGACGGCAGCCCTGGACGGACCCCATCTTTCTGCGCCCTCTTTTGAGCCAGATGGATGTGTGAGGGTCCCGGGGCCCGAACTTTGGCGAGAGCGCCCGGCCCGAAAGAACGGAGGCGCCAGGATCTCAGGGGAGCGGCGCGCCGTTCTTCCTCCAGTTTAAGCTGGGCCTGCCCCTCTACAGGAGGGATGCTCAAGGCTGGTCAAAAACAGTCTGGGGACGATTTGCTCCGACTACCTTCAGGAGGGAAAAAACACAGACACAATCAATCGTCGGTTCCCAAAACATATGGGAACATATGGGACGTGGGGGGGAAGACAGAAACCCTGAAAACATGGGAACCTATGGGGGGTCCTGTTCTTTGTGTGTGTGTGTGTGTGTATGTGTTTGTGTGTCCCAGGGCCCCTTCAATTATCTCTGGCAACCTGTGAGCATCCTTGGGCTCTGTTCTAGCTTTTCGCTCCCCGAGCCCGCCTGCAGGATTAAGTCTGGCCTGTCCCCCTACAGGGGGATTTTCGACGAAAAATAGAACATACCCCCCAACTAGTCCAAACATCATCCAAACATAGTCTCAGTATAGTTTGACCTTTTTGGGGCATTTTTGGGGGTATTTTTCTTGGTTCGTCGAAAATCCCCCTGCAGGGGGACACGCCCGACATAACTGCAGGAGGACATGCCCGGCCTCGCCCTCGACGCGGGGGGCCCAGCGAGGGGCACGCGGGGCCCGACGCTCCGAGGGGCCCCACGAGGGGCACGGCGGTGCACGAGGGGCTCACACGCCGGTCGTTGGAAGCAGGTACTTTTGGGATTCCCAGGTCCAATCTCGACTTCCAGCGCCTGCCTGCTTCAAGACTCTCGACACGCTTTTGCTGTGCTTTGTGATTCTCTGGGAGGACCTGGACCCAATCCACTACATCCGCCTTCCTACTTCCACTGCGAGGGGCTCACCCCCGCGTCTGCCCCGGCCCCGGCTCCCAGGCGCCGCTCGGGGGCCCCCGGACGGGGTGGTGACCGCACCGTGCGGTGGGGATTCGGGGTCACTGCACGGTTTTGGGACTCGAGTCCTTCTCCGAGGATGTTTCGGGCGACAGGGGCCTCCAGGGTCCCAAGGCCGTGCGTTGACGGACCGTGCGGTGAGGTCTCTTTCGGGTTCCAAGTCGCCGCACGGTCTGTCACCGCACCGTTTCGGGAGTGCCAGAAAATAACACCCCAAACCTTTTTTGACCCATCCCGACTGCTCAAAACCTCGGCTGGAATGCGGGCATCTGGGTCCAGGCGCTATTTTTCGGGCCTCCTTGAAGGGCAGGGTCGGCTTTCGCCCTGGCCCTGGCCCCAGCGGCGGCCCGGGCCTCGGCCCCGGCTGCGGCCCCGGCCGCGGCCCCAGAGGCGCACGATGGGGCACCTCTCCTGAGATCCTGGCGACTCCATTCTTTCGAGCAGGGCGTTCTTTCGCTCAGTTTCGGGCCCCGGGGCCCTCACAGCTCGATCCGGCTTGGGAAGTAAAGCTGAAGGATGGGGTCTGGGGGTCCAGTCGTGATTGTTTGCGATGTCGCATTTTTTTTGCAGCGTCGGATCTCAGGGTCCCTCCTTGTCCCCCGCGGGCCAGTGCTCGACGAGAATTTCTGGCCCGCGCCTCCCGAGACGTCTGGCGTCTCGACTGTGTCTCGGGACGCCTGCCCTCGCGACCTCTCGACCACTTCCCCGCGGCCGGATTTTCTCACCTCGTCTTGGACGGTCCCGAGGGCCCGTACGGGCCCCTGGAGGCCGAGCGCGAAGAAAACCCGTTGTCTCGATTTTTTCGAGGCGCTGCTTTCGAGTTGGGGATCGACTGCAGAATGGATTTGCTCAAAACCTGATTTCCCCCTCGTCTGACCTGCGACGAGCACGTAGAGAATGTTCATGAGCTCACTCCGAGTTCCAAGTATCTTCCCGTAGGCTCGATGAGAAAATTGGATCGGGGCAGATCCCTTCTGTACAGTCGACCCCCTGCTCGATGGATGTCTGGGGAGCCTCCGGCCCGCTGCTCTCGCGCCGTGCACGTCCCCGCCGGCCGGCCAGACGCGCCCGCCCCAG